GCCACTGACTGGGGGTTGGGGGTGAGGCTTAGGTTTTTTCTATTGGTCTTTTTTTGTTTGGTTTTGTTTTGTTTTGTTTCTCTGTGTAGCTTTGTGCCTTTCCTGGAACTCACTCTGTAGCCCAGGCTGGCCTCGAACTCACAGAGATCCACCTGGCTCTGCCTCCTGAGTGCTGGGATTAAAGGCGTGAGCCACCAGCCCCTGGCTATTTCCATTGGTCTTATGCAGGTTGGCTGTCTGATTGCAGGGTGGCAGGCAGGTCACTGCTCTGTGCAGTGTGTTCTCGGAGAATGTGCCTTAGGCTCATAACCTCTAAGATCACTCAGCTGCTTGTATTCTCCACAACACTGGTGAGGTCAGCATTTTCATGAGAGTTCTAGTCCCTTGCCCTGGTTATTGAACACATTTTATTTTTCATTAGCCAGACCCATTTCTTTGAGGGGCAGGGACAAGGCCTAATTCTCATATATTCTCAGCCATACATTTTGTTCCTATAGAGCAAGCAAAATAGGTAGTGGTCTGTAAATGATTTAATCTAATTAGACTAAGCCTTCATATAACTGAAGAAAAATAAATGCCCTTACCTACACGAGCGTGTAAACACACTCTGGGGATATACTGATTGACCCTAGCGTTAAGATATCATTTTATGAATTTCATTTCTTATCTTTCCATCCCTATTTTCCTCACCTCTGTGTCAGGCACTGGGTAAGGCTCAGGGGATCCAAAGGAGCTATCAATGGAGGGGACAGAGAGCAGAGAGAGAATTTAATCTGACTAGAGTGTAAAGTACTTACAGAAACCCACACTGGGGAGCTGCCTCTGGGTACAGGGAGTTTTTTCTGAGACTGTGACCATTACCAGCCCAGGGGAGGAAGAGACTTGTTCAAAGCCAGCTCACACACAAATTTCTATGCTATGCCACCATTCCTCTGAGTTTCATGGAGGTTCTGTGAAAACACCCACCACTGAATACTTTGGTTATCTTGAGTCTCTTTCGGGCCTTTGGACTGGCCATTTCACGAACAGTTTACATCTTGATCATTGGAGTAGACTGTGGCTCATCTAAATCTAAGCCCCAGTGTGATGATGTTCAGAGGAGGGAACTTGGAGAGAAATCAGTTGCCAGGGTGGAGCCCTGAAAGCCTTGCAATCAGAGGCCAGTGTGCCCCCTTTCTACCATTTAAGGACACAGCAGTAAGTCAACAGCCTGCAACCTACAAGACTCTCATCAGAACTTGACCATGATGGCACTCTGTTTTAGTTTTCTTTGTGTTGCTGTGATAAAATATTCTGACCAAAGTAACTTAGATGAGCATAGGATTTATTTGGCTTATACTTCAGGGCATAGTTGTTGATTGAGGGAAATCAGAGCAGGAATCCAAGTAAAAATGTAAAAGAGAAACCACAGAGGACTATTGTTTACTGTGTCATTCATCATCCTATGCCTAGCTAGCTTTCTTATGCAACCCAGGATCACCTGCATAGGGGTGGTGCTGCCCACAGTGGGCTGGGCCCTTTTACATCAAGTAACCATCAGTGTGTACACATCCACAGGCCAGTCTGGTCTGGGAAACCCCTCACCTGAGACTCCCTTCTCAGGTGACTAGACTGTGTCAAGTTGACAGTGAAAGCTAACTAAGGCACACCCTGATGGTGGACTTCAACCTCTAGAACTGTAACTGCACGTGTCTAAGGTGCTTTGTTACAGCAGCCCAGAAGGATGAGGACAAATGCTTCTGCTTTGAGAATGAGAGACACTCTGAATCAGTTTCCTTCCGTGCTGCTCATAAAGCAGTGTTTAATGTCTTGCTCCCTCACCTCCTAGAGTGGTTATTGGATCCTCTCTGTTAGTGTCTACAATCCTGGATGGTTTGTCCTTTATCAGTCTGCTTCCCTGTGTCTACCTTCCCTGATTACCCACATCACCAGGGTTTTGTTTTATCACCCTACTCTACAGAGTGATAAAAATCGAAGATCTGAGGTTTATAGAAATCAAGAGTGGCCAGAGCTAAGTGATGAACAGGAAAGAACTTTAGGAGTTTTTTTTTTTTTTTTTTTTTTTTTTTGGTTTTTCGAGACAGGGTTTCTCTGTGTAGCTTTGTGCCTTTCCTGGATCTCGCTCTGTAGACCAGGCTGGACTCGAACTCACAAAGATCCACCTGCCTCTGCCTCCCGAGTGCTGGGATTAAAGGTGTGCACCACCACCGCCCGGCACAGAACTTCAGGAGTTTTAAGCTACCGAGTAAACTCCAAGTCTCTCTGAAACAAGCCCGGAGGTTTGCCTCTTGACACTAGAAGGGGAGAGTTTTGTCATTGTTTGCTAATTGTGTAGACCTCTGTATATGTGTGGGCACAACCAGACATGCTGCCTGGCAAAAAGGAAGTCAATCCTGCTTTGCCTGTTACTCACACATCGTAGATGGGATGGGTACCGGGATGAGGTGATGCAGATGGTGGGGGTGTTAGAAGGACCGGCCTGACCTATACCTGTGATGGGTGTCATGTATTATACTTGTACATGGAAGAGTTTGTCATCCCCTTGCAGAGAAACATAACAGGTATGAAAAATTCGATTTGTTCAAGATCACACACGATGATATCTTCATTCCCATCGCTGTTAACATCATTAATCTGGCTAATGAGTTTCTGAGCTGTGAAATTGGCTGCAGAAGTTTTATGTTTAAGGGCGTTTTCTGGTTAGATCTGGTTTCATAAGATTCTCAAAGAGGTTTCTGATCACATAGAATTTTATACTACTGGAACTGTCAGAAATACCAGTAATTTATTTATAAATTATCATAAAATAACTTTTTAAAAAGTTTGGACTGATGAAACCTTTCTACATGTCATGGAAATCAAACTGTGAAAGCAAACTTTCTGTTTTGCAATACAATAATTAAAAACTTAGGGATGGAAATGGCTCAATGGGTAATAATGCTTGATGCACAAACTTGAGGAAATCATGAAATCAAATAACCAGAACTTAGGTAGGTAAAACAAAATGTGAGTATGATTACATGTGCCTGTAACTTCATCCTTAATATGTGTTATATGTACGTACAGTGCATGATCACTGAGCCTTGCTGGCCAGCGGCCTCGCTTGCCAATAGCTCCAGGTTCAGTAAGAGACCCTGTCTCAAAGGAATAAAGCAGAGAGCATGAGAGCAGAAAGGAAAGAGAGAACCTCTGACTTCTACTCATGCACCATGGAAAATACACACACACACACACACACACACACACACACGCACGCACGCACATGTGCATACACACAGGCACACACGCACGTACACAATTATTTTTATATATATATATATATATATATATATATATATATATATATAATTTTAATAAAAACCCATAACAGTATTTAAAACATGCTTATCCTTGCTGACCCGAGTGTTTGCAGCATCCGATAAGTTTTAAGTTTTATTTGTATTTACATGGGTAAATTGCACATATTAGTGGGCTGTAGTCTTCATTGTCAGTTTGTCTAGATTTAGAATCACCTGGGAGACACACCTCTGGGCTTATTTCTGGAGAGGACTGACTGAGGAAGGAAGGGCTTCGTCAATGTAGGCTACACGGAGTCATGGCATGGGACTCCGGGTGGAATGAAAGGGGAAAAAGACAGAGGAGCACCAGTGTCCCCCTTTCCCTGCTGCCTGCTCTGTGACAATGTGAGCAGGGAACGTCATGCTCCTGCTACTCCTGCCACTCTGCCTTCCCACCACGAGATCTACATGCCCTCCAACAACGAGCCAACATAAATCCTTAAGTTGCTTCGAGAAAAATAATACAAGTGTGGTACACGTGCACACAGTGTGCACACATCAAACCATGGTAGTCAGCACTTTCCATTTTCATTTCTGTTTGGCGTCTAGGATCTCCTTTTTTCTAGAATTCATAATCTCTATCACAGCATCATTCATAACAAAGCTGTGGAGAGGATTAGACGTTAGCCGAATAGAGCACTTATTAAGTTCAACTGCATCTATGCTATGACGCTGGGTTGATATGAGCATTGAAGAGTGTATCCAATTTTCCAGAAGCTTAAAGTCTAGAATAATTCCAAGGCCTTTGTTACAGAGGAGGTGTGGGGTGGATGTGTAAGGACCTGCTGCTGGGGACAGCAGGTATATATCCTAGTTCAACACTTTACCTTGGATGTTTACTACGATATGAAGGGGAAATCAGTGCCTTGCACTGAAGGAGGAATTTGGGCACAATTTGTAGGCTGCCAGTACTGTTTAGCTGAGTGCTGTTACCACTCTAGGCATTTATTTTTAAAAGGAACTAGCAATTTTCTCCATTGGCAATTCATTAGACACCCTAAGAACCTGCAATTTGACTCCATGGGCTGGACACCGAGGCTTCTGTGTGGAATGCTGGAGAGAAAGCCAGACAATGCATTCCCCAGGAGGAAGGGCACCTACTCAACTTGCAAGTAAAGTCTGTTTTCAGTTATTCTCAGCCCAAGGCTCAGTTTTCTGGTGTGAGTGTTTCTGGCAAAAGAATATGAAATTTTGACCTTGAAGAATCCTAACCTGTTGACCTAATGTGCAAACAATAGCCAGGAAAGCTTTTTTTTTGTATTATTCATATTCTCATTTTACCTCACATTATTTAAAGTCAATCTATTCATACTCAAAGAATAAAAAGGTTTGTTTGTAGCCAATAGTTGTTATTTGGGGCTGATATCCACCAGCCCCATTCTAAAAATCAGGATAGGTTTAAAGAAAGATGGTTAGTGATCTTGAATCTGTAGACTAGGATGGGTTTGTAATTCCTAGCTACTTGGGAAACTCAGGCAAGAGGATCACAAGTGCGAGGCCTGCTTGGGCTACAAAATGAGCTCAAAGTGAGCCTGGATGACTTACTGGTACTCTGTTTCAAAATTAACAACAGGTATAAAGGGAGTTGGAGGTGTAGTTTATGGTATGTAAGGGGCAGTGGGTTCAAACCTGTGGCACACTCAGCTCTTCATTCTCTTTTAGCATCATCCTAAGAATTGATGCCATGGGGACTCTGGACAAACAGTCTCACTCAGGACGTATGTGCCCCCTTAGAAACTGGAAGTAAGTTTTATTAAAATTTACTTTTACAGAATTAAATTTGTCTTATTCTGAACTCCTGTGATGTCGTTTAATGTCAGTTCATTTCTAAAAAAAAAAAAAAATGAACCACCCCCGCATATCCAGAGAGACAAGAAGAAATTTTGAGAGTTTTGTCGAAGTTCAAGATTCTGAATTGATAGTGGGGACATTCACAGAATTGTCTCTTTTTCCTCCCTCTGGGCCCACAAGTGAATGAGTGGAGGGTTGAGTTAATGAGGTATTGGTTTTGCCTTGTGAACTAGAGTGGAGAGGGAGCTCAAGGCATATGGAAGGGCATAGTTCTGATAATTGACTGTGGAGTTAAAAGTGATTGATGAGGTGAAGCCCATTATGAGGAGACTCAGGGACCCATTATGAGGAGACTCACTCTTCACTCATTGAAGAGTGGTGGATCAGTGGGTCATGGGTCTCACTGGGACCAGAATGTTGAAATTGGGGTTCCAGGTGTACAGACTGACAGAGGAGATTGTGGTTGGATAGGGGCTCAGAGGTATTGCAGGAAAGGACTAGTGTATGACCTTGGAGAAAAATACGCAGAGTTGAGTGTTGGAAGGCTCATCAGTGTGATTCTGAGTTCATGTAGGGCCAGAGCCACTGGCATGAGGCAGAGTGACGGTGAGGGGGCCAGCAACCCAGGGCTTCCTGGAATGAGAGGGAGTGGGTGGGATAGTCTGATGGTGCATGATTCAAAACTTAGATTTTACATAAGAGGAAGGGAGGAATAATGGTCTAGATGTACTAACAAAATGCAGTAAAGACACCCACTCCATACCTAAGTTCCAAAGCCCAGGGAATTGAGGGGGGAGCCACTGCCTAAGAGTCCTTGATGGGGGATTAGTGGGTGAGCAAGTGTTCTTGGGGAAAGCCAAGCTTTAGTCAGGACAGGAAACTAGGCAAAGTGTTCCAGAAGGGTGCAAGGGAGGAGGGGGCAGATATCTTGCTGATGACCTCTAGAGTTCCAGAGAACACAATCCAGGAGCTGAAGGCACTGTGGAAGGGTGAGAAACAGGATCAGGAAAAAGAATACAAGGGACCCTGTGGTGAGAGAGGCTGAGGGGTGACAGATGGCACAGAAGCCCTGGACTTCGTTGTGCCTGTTGTTGGCGGGTGGAAATGATGGAATCTGGTCTCTACCAGGGCTGTGGGTATGAAAGTGCAGCGCAATGCTCAGGCGTTTGGGATGCCCACTGGGCTCCTACTTGGAATGGCCCTACATTATTTATATAGGACTCCAATCCAACTGCAGCCACAAGAACAGCTGGCTTTAGTCAAAGGCTCTCCCTACTACCCAGGGAAGAGTCATGCATGGCAGAGGTCATGGAAGGATCTCCTGCTTGACACAGCTCTGTGTTATCACTTCGCCAGGCAGACAGCATTCCCCTTAGACTGAGCTGTGTTTTGATAACTACTCTTGCCTGATTCAGAACCAGCCTTCTTCACGTTTTACTTCGGCCCTCCCACTTGCTGTGCCTGGATTCATGAAAATTGCAGTGTACGCCATTCTGGGGTGGGGAGGGTGAGCTGTGGTGCCCCCTAGCTCTACTCAAGACATCGGTGCCTAGAGCCAGAGATCATCTCTACGGACCTGACAACCATTCAACTCCACTGTCTGCTTAGCCCAGGAGGGGTTCCAAAAAAGTACTAAACATCTTCAATGAATGTTGAGGAATAGTAATCTGCTTGGGGGAAAATAATTCATATTTACTTCTTTGTGAGTGTTGGATTTAAAAGAGAAGGAACTCAGGACAGGTCCCCACATCTCCTCCATGGCCTCTAGTGTCTTCATTCTCCATGTCGCACTGTGCTGACCCCAAAACAGACTCTAACAAATAAAGAAATTCAAGAAAGATTTACAAAGGACCTAACTTTACTTCTCCTTCCTCTTCCTGGACCTCTACTTCCTCGATCACACAGAAATGTCACTTCATGTGAGCTGTGATCACCCTTCACTTGGTTAGGTCCAAGCATGTAAGGGGACTTCTCAGATATGAATCATAATTTGCAAAACAGAGCGAAGGAACAGAGGTGAACATAAAGGTCACTAGAAAAGGATACCTTTTCTATTCTGGAAAGTGACAGCTTTCACTAAAGGCTGGAGAGATGGAGTGAAACGGAAGTGGGGTTCATGGCATCTAGGTTTTTTAAAGGTAACAACCCCTTCCTCCTTTCAAAGACATCTGTCCTAGCGTCCATTTGCACAGCATGTAAATACCACAGCCCGGGTGGTATTTTTTTTTCCTAAACTTTTTTTTTCTCAGCCAGAACTATGTGCTAACACTTCTTCCTAGCCATAGAAGCTCCTAGAAGTCTGGAGACAGCAAAATGAAATCAGGCCTGCGTCAGGCTGGAGACTCCAGAAGCAGGGCCAGGCCTTTGTCTACTCAATGATTTTTTTGGAAATGGTCTCACTCTCTGGGAAGTTCAGGATGACAAGCCTGCAGGGATGTGGTCCTTGCATATAGATAAAGTCCATATGGTTTTACTGAGTGAATTAAATCGTCACTGTTTTAACTGCTCTGTGTTCCTGTCTGTCTGTGGGATGCAAAGCATGGCTGTGAGATGTACATACGTGCAAGCACCAGCACTAATGTACAGAGATGCTCCTGTATGCAGAGGGTGACCCCGACTCTTGCTTGTGTGGATCTCAACTAGCCAAACCATTGCAGCCCCCAGTGATGGTTGGTAAGTGGGTTCACTATAAATATAGCTGCTTTCACCAGTTTTTCATCTTTTGTTTCTTAGAGAAAACAATCAAACTTGTCTCAAGAAACTATAAAATTACAATGTGTAGAAAGGTAAATATGGCATCTTGTCTTCTTCCAGGGACATAAGCCTAGTCTGACCTAGCTGAGCATTGCTTAGCTGTAGTTAATGCAGGAGAAACTCAGCTTGTTGTTTTGTTGTAGACATTACAGAAACATTCCTTATTGCTGAAAAGAAATGAAGGAAGGAAGTAGGGAAGGAAGAATGAAGGAGGGGAAGGAGAGGAAGGAGGAAGGGACAGAGGAAGGAAGGGAGGGATTTTAACACAGGCTACATATTCCTGGTTTTGTTGCTACCATCATGAGCCCAGGCTGCCCTCAAACTTACTATGTAGCAAATGACCTTCTCATGCATCTGCCTCCCAAGTGCTGGGATTATAGGCGTGTGGCACCACACCTGATTTGTGCAGGGTTGCAGAGCCTTTTAAATACTAAGTGCTGGGATTACAGGCGTGTGGCACCACACCTGATTTGTGCAGGGTTGCAGAGCCTTTTAAATACTAAGTGCTGGGATTACAGGCGTGTGGCACCACACCTGATTTGTGCAGGGTTGCAGAGCCTTTTGCACACCAGGCAAGCTGTCGGCCCCACTTCCAACCCCACACTGCTTCATTAAGAACTTGTATGCAGCATTTATAAAATCACTCCTTGACCTTATTTTCAACAAGTTGTTTTATTCATAACTGGGCCAGTTCTTTTCAAATTAAAAAGAAAAATTGTACGTCCATATGGCACTCGTGTAGATATGAGTATTTGTACGTGGCATTCTAGGAATAAAAATATCGTTTAAAAGTGAAAATTGAAATGCCAACAAGCGCTTGTTTCTACAGAGTTCAGCTGTTTTCCAGGCTTCAAGTAGGCGGGGATCGCATGTTAGAATTTTTCAGTGTAATTGTGGGGTTATTAATGCATGGCACTTTCGGTTCAACAAACAAGGAAATAGACTGTTCTGGAAGCTTCCTAAATTAAGTGTAGGGATTCCAGACAGCCCTAGAGTGGTGCAAAGCTCTTACTCTTTGCTTCATTAGTGCGGTTTCTGCAAACTCTTTCTCTGATCATAATTCTTCCTATATACTTATTCCCCAATTACCTTCCTCTGTCTGGCAGCTGGAACATGACATCCCTCACTAGATTCCTTTAGGTTTAGGTAAATGCATCTTTTCTGCAAAGTAACAGTTTCCCGGAACTTGAAGTTTAATCGGTAATGTATCGGGACAGCCACCGGCTTCATTTCCACTGCCATCTGGTACAAGCTCCTTTCATGGTGTGTGTGCTTGTCGGTGAAATGATCTTTTCAATCTGTTTCATATATTATTATTTCTAGTGTATAGCTCATTTATTTTAGATACATATCATTATAAAAAGGATTTATGATAGTTCATAGAGAGGCATAAAATACAACAACTTGACATTTAAGAGTGGAGAAGAAAAGGCAGAGGTAATATACATAGAATAGGGACTGAAGCTTTGAAACTTGCAAGCTGCTGAGATGGAGCATGTCTTGGGGACACATAGGTGTGGGGCTTCATAGCTGTGTGGAAGGGATTTCTGTTATTCTATGTCCTTAGTATGAGAACAGACTGTTCGTCTTCACTCATCTGTGATTTGCTCAGTGTCAGTCAGTATTTAAATAGCAAGTCCTTCAAGCACAGTCACATAATTATAATGTACATTATAAAGGATAATGAATTAAGACATGTATCTTCTGTATTTATACTTCCTTGAAGCCCATCCTGACCTTTCCCACTGGTACTCGCCTCTCTCCATCCTTCCTACTAGTCACCCCAAATCCAGGTCTCCTTTGGGGTTCTTAAGTCTTAAAGTGTTCTCCTATACCCAGAAGCAAAACCGAAGCCTGACGTGCCTGTTTTCTTCGTCAGCTTTGCTTCTTGTGTTCAGCGTGGTTTGAGGTCATGCTGAAGTTGGTGTCTGCAGCACATTTTTATGTGTTTGTACATGCTGTTCATCGACTCCCTTTCAGACAGTGAGGAGAACTGTCAGTGTCCTCCTGTCTCCTGGTACATGCCTCCCTGTGTGTGTCTTCCATAAGTAAACACATCTGAGATGGTCAGCACTATAGTTATCTGTTATGCCTTGAGAACTGTACCTGTTATTCAGCCTTACTAGATAATGTCAAATTGTTTGCTAAAGTGATGATGACCATTTTACACGTCTACTAGTGAAATGGGAGCTTTCCTG